AAAAAACTTGGCCACTGGTTTTGCCTAACCTTGCTTGCTCTTGTAATGATGTATGGAAAATAATTGCCATGGGCTCCATAGCACGTCTGTTCCTTATTCATATAAGGGGGTGGGGGAAACCCTGTAAACCTGAAGCTATGATATGATTATTATTTCTCAAAATGTACATTTCCTAGAGTTGGCCAAGTTAGAAGGATGTGTTGCAGGGTGCCTGAATTAAATATGTGCTACTTTGTTAAGTCTGAAAAACTCCACTTTAAAAACTTGAAATGCCCTAGATTGCATCCATTCCTTATTTCTTTTTGGTCTAGTAGAGGCTTTTTTGAATGGAAGGCGAGGGTAGGTAATTTTTAATCCATTTCCCCCATTCTCTTTCACACAATTTCAGTATTTGTAGCCTTCTGAATGTTTCTGCCAATTGCCATTATATCATAAGCATGTTAAGTATGCATTTTGCCACCTAATATGCACTTCCATAGCTTGAGAATGAATTACTGTTGATGTTCATGTTCATAATGTTCATGTCCACAGCAGTTTATATTCTGGGTTTATGGATACTGGAATCTATACAAGCCTTGGTTTCAGATTTCAGTTTCTGCAAACCCCAAATGGTGGTCATTTCAGATTTGAATGGTGCTATCTATGTTGAATCTTTTTTTAATTGCTGTATATTTGTTATTTTCTTTTTATCGTTTAAACCACCAGGAGTTGAATTGGATTCAGGCAACATCTAAGTCAAATAAATAAATAAAACTGAACCAACTTCTTTACTGGCTGATAAAAATGTAACTTCTATTAAGTACTGCCTGAAAAACCATTTATTTGTGGATTTTAACTCGGTTTTAAATGCATTAGATTGCATCCATTATTTCACCCTTGATGAGTCCTTCCAATTTTTTGGGCATTTTTTTTTTCAGCAGTGGTTTGCCCTCGCCTCTTTGTTCCCAGGGCATAGAAAGAGGGTCTAGCTCAGGGGGTCTTCAAACTTGGCCCTTTTATGTCTTGTGGACTTCAACTCCCAGAATTCCTCAGCCAGGCACGCTGGTCTAGCCCAAGTTTACCCAGCTGACATTGTGCCTAAGGAAGGACTAGGACTCATGGTCTCCCACCTTAAGTGCCTTAACCACTACACAAAACTGGTTCTCCATAAATATATATATATGCTGTGGTGTTTTCTAAGTGCGTTCAGTGGTATAGGAGGACCATCAAATCACTGCAATCTTCTGTGCACAAATCTACCTTGACCTTAAACTATCCTTAAGCTATCCTTATGCATTCGGGTTAAAAGTCTCTCTTCGCCCTGTCGCACTGATAATTTTCAGATAAATCACAAGGGTGTAGTAACATACTCCTCACCTGAACACCCTTGCGTGTGCGGATGAGCGAGAGGAGGAGGGATTTAATCCCAGTGCTTTCATAATGATGCCTCGTACAGAGGTTGCCGGCATTCTTTCTCTCCGTTACGCTGCCTTTTCGTTCAAAATTTAGAATTTCCTTCTACCTCATCCTTTCTCAAATTGCGTCCCGTTTAAAAAAAAAAGTTCAGCAATTATTTTCAGTTTCCAAGCTTCTGTCGTTTAACAGATTTTTTTTTTATGTAACACATTTATTTAAAAAAAAAAAGTAGCGGTAGCAGGAAATGCCAAGTGACATTTTATTTAGGATTCTTTCACTAGATCACTTTGGAGGAATGGGTGGTGACCCTCAATATTTCTTACTGATTGTACATTTTAAATAATCGTGTGCATGTGCGAAATCTCACTGCTCCCTTTTAGGAGGGCAGCTTCCCTGTAAACAATAGTATTCCAAAAAAAAAAAAATGTTGCTGTTGTGAGTCTCCTGTGTTGTTTCCTGTTACACTGAGCACCAGGAGACATCAAGCCGTTAACTTCATCCCCTTTGGGATGAAATTAGGCGTGGGTCTGGTGTAATTCCATGGGGCTCAAGTGCTCGACTGAGAATTGAACAAAGGATATGCACTGTGTGTATCCTATGTGTAAAGAGGATGAGGGTATGAAGATCATGTAAGACCTTCTTCATGAGGCTATCACATAATGGAACATCTACCTATATCTCTGCTCTGAGATCTGAAGGGAAGATGGATCGTACATACCATTCTTTTAGATCAGGGGTAGGCAACCTTGGCTCTTTTATGACTCGTGGACTTCAACTCCCAGAATTCCTGAGCCAGCATGGCTCAGCTTGGAAACCTCTCCCTTTCCCCTCAGCATGGCTGGCTCAGGAATTCTGGGAGTTGAAGTCTACGGGTCATAAAAGAGCCAAGGTTGCCTACCCATGTTCTAGATTCACTAGGACAGAGTGAGTATTGAGCCCTACTGATTGAACACTCTTAAGGAAAAGCTGAGCTGCTATGATTTTTGTGTGCTTCCTCGTTTCCATTATCTTCTCCTTGGCTCCCCTATTCACCACAAGAGAGGACAGACCAAAGAGGTTGTTCTTTCTTCTCTTTTTCCTGAGTATTGCTTGTGAAGTTGGAGATGGCAGGCACAGTGGTAGGGAAGGCCAAGGCTCGGGATTCCTCCCAAGAAGCCATGGGCTCTTTTTGAGATGTGGCCCTCACGATATTGATCTGATATTTGCCTCCCAACAACAACCCTGTTCTTGAGATGTGCTAAAAATTCTTCACACTGTTCTGCCTCTGCTTGCTTGTTTGTCCCTAGTTTGATAGCTTTCTTATTTTTTTCTCTCTTTTAATTATCCACCCAGCAGGAGCAGCCTCCACGTGGACCCTTATTTGGGCGTTGGTGACAACGCTTCTGCATCCTGAAGCAAGAATGCTGAAAGAGTGCACAAGTCCTGAAGGTCAGAAATGCCCCAGCCTATGCGCTTGTAGCTTTGACGACTGCAACGATGATCTGAGTGTCTACTGCAGTGCACGGAACCTTACCACCTTGCCCGAAGACGTGCCCCGAAGTACAAGGATGTTGTGGCTGGATGGGAACAATTTCACAACCTTGCCAGCTCTTGCTTTTAGGAACCTCTCCAACCTGGAGTTTCTTAACTTTCAGGGCAGTCAGTTATCAGGGATTGAACAACATGCCTTCCATGGTTTGGAAGGACTGTACTCTTTGCTCCTGGAACGCAATCGGCTGAAGTCACTGGCACCCAATATCTTCCTCCACCTTCAGAATCTGGCTTCCTTACGTCTCAACAACAACCAGTTCAGCAAGATTGAAGAAGGTGTGTTTGCTGGACTTTCCAACCTCTGGTATTTAAACCTAGGGTGGAATTCCTTGGTGGTCCTGCCAGACAAAGTGTTCCACGACCTACCCAATTTAAGGGAGATGGTCCTGGCTGGAAACAAGCTGCACTACCTCCAACACCAATTGTTCTACAGTCTCAGCGAGTTGCGGGAACTGGATCTGAGTTGGAATTCCCTCAAGGGCATCAAAGGTAACATCTTCACAAAGCTTCAAAAGCTGCTGAAACTTTACCTGAACCAGAACCAAATCAACGCCATCGCTCCGAGGGCCTTTTGGGGCCTGAAATCTTTGAGATGGTTAGATCTCTCCCACAACCGTCTGGCTACCCTTTTTGAAGACACATTCCTGGGACTTTCGAGCCTTCACGTCTTGCGTCTCTCCAGCAATTCCATCACTAGCTTGAGTCCCCGGACTTTCAAAGACCTGCAGTTCCTGGAAGAATTGCAGCTAGGGAACAACAAGATTCGCACCTTGCAGGAAAAGAGCTTTGATAAATTGGCTCAACTGGAGGTCCTTACTCTAAACGACAACCAGATTCAGGAGATCAGGCCTGGGGCGTTTCTCGGACTCTCCCACGTGGCCGTGATGAACCTATCGGGGAATTGCCTTACAACTTTTCCTGATTTCACTTTCAGGGGTCTCAGCCATCTCCACAGCCTCCATCTGGAAAGCTGCTGCCTCACCAGGATCAGACCGCAAATGTTTTCTGATCTCTCCAGTCTCCGAAGGCTCTTTTTGCGATTCAACGCCATCTCCGTCGTTGAAGATAACAGCTTGAATGATTTACACGAGCTGCTTGACCTGGATCTCAAGCACAACCGGCTGAGAAGTCTCTCCCCGAATCAGTTCGCTGGCCTAAGGAACCTCGAATATCTCCTCCTGTCCTTCAACCAGCTGGTAGATCTCTCTCCTGAGGCCTTCGTCCCGTTGTCGCGTCTCTCCTGGCTTGATCTCTCCAACAACTTCCTGGAGACCTTGGACGGCGGCACCTTGGCCACTTTCTCAAAACTGACTTATCTGAACATCAGGAACAACTCTCTGAAGACCTTCTCGGTGGATTGGCTCGGCCCGTCACCTACACTGGTTCAGCTGTGGCTAGAAGGGAACAAATGGGAGTGCAATTGCTCGCTCAAGGGTCTCCGAGACTTCGCTCTGCAGCAACCCAGTGTGGTCCTGCGGTACACACAATCTATCACAGAAGAAGCACCTGAATATACCTACAACAACATCACTTGCCTTAGCCCTGCGGAAGTGGTAGGACTTGATCTACGAGACATTCAAGAAGATCATTTTGCGGATTGTTAAGTGTTTTGTCACCTTCTTGCTTTCTTTCCAAGAAATGTTCTCCTTTCTAGGGAACAGTACCAACTCAATCTTTTATGGGTTTGGACTTACGAAGCCATCAGGAATCAGGCACAACGTGAATGTATATATTCAAGTATATTCAAGTCATCACAAAGGTCTATTGCAAGTGTCCTTGGCTGGTCTCAAAAACACTATCAGACCAGATGTTTTAAAAGTCCAGCAGGCATTTCTAGAGTTGTAGATCAGACTGGGAAGTTAAACAATTCAGGTGACAAACTTTGCATACTGCTTCCACAAAATCTGCACAGACTTCATTCAATCACCCACTCAAGTTTGATTTAACGGAGAATGGCCTTAACATTTAGGAAAATTAATTAAGAAAAATAATTAATATCAAATAATGTTCTGAATCACAGAGTGGTATCATTTGCAACTTCCTTAGATATATTTAAGCCTTTAGGACTCAAATATTCCAGTAAGTTGGTTAATATTCCCTTTTCCTCCTCCCCCCTTTATAAAGTATTTTTTGGGATTTTCTACTGCCTCTGGAGATGGGTGGGGAATATGAGTGCTGCCCTGTTTTCTCATAATGCCAACTTATCACTTGGAAACAATTTTTTTTTTCCAAACCAGGTTCTGCAATAACTTGATAGGCTCCATAACGGGGGGGGGGGGGGGAGAAATTCAACTAATTTTGATATATGCATTTGCCGAAGTAAATTACAAGCAACACAACTTTATCGCCAATTTTCTATCACTAGAGCTTCGTCTCTTGAGAATGGGCCCTGAGAATTTTGCTCACAGGTTCTGCAGCCCCAAAAAGTTTGAAAATGCCTTGGAGCATTGTGGAATATTGCACCGAAGCTATATCCTGGTGAGCAGAATTGAGGGGAAATGTTATATCTGGAGACTGCTGGTGTTTACTGGGGTCTCGCGTAGCTGAGAACCCTTTAAATTCAGGACTGGTCTCCTGTCAAGTCTCAACTAGGCAAACCAACAACCTCTCTGAGGTGTTGTCCGTGCAGAGGAGAAACAAAGATGAAAGAAAACCGAAACACCCTGAACCAAACTTAGTATATTGAGCAAATGCAGCCATTGCTGTGTTTGTTAATTAACCTGATTAAGTTTATTATGTGAATGCTGCCATCAAGTACTGGGCTCTGTCACGTTCACATGATTTACAAGGAAATAATCTTTCCAAAGTGCTGTGGCTGTACTTGACTGTAGCAATACCTACGTGCCTAGTCATAAAGACTGTGGATAGAAATTACAGTTAGAAACGTGTAGAGCAATGATGGCAAACCTTTTAGAGACCGAGTGCCCAAACTGCAACCCAAAACCCACTTATGCATCGTCGGGTGCCGGGTGGGTGTGGCCCATTGGGTGGGCGTGGCTGCAGTGGTAACAGCAGACTGGGTGGGACTAAAAAGTTCAATCAGTCAATTCCAACTTTGCAAGATCTTTTTTTCCCCACGAGACGTTGAAATTGACTGATTGATTGAACTTTTTTTTTTTTTTTTGCACACGGCGGCGGAGGCCTAAAGCGAAAAGGTTTTATAAAACCCAGCTGAAGACCTAGGACTGGGGCGATGGCGCGCATGCCCACATCTCTGGCACCCGTGCCATAGGTTCGCCACCACTGGTGTAGAGGTTGGGAAAAATAGAATATCGTGTACTCAGTTAAGTTCTGAATCCCAAGTCTCCCTTCCAGTTCTTGTCTTCCCTGAAATATCCTAACCTTAATTTACCAGCGTTTCTCTTGTGTCCTCACACTCATGGGTCATTCTTCCTTGTCTTCTTGGAGCCTATACCTCAGTTCTTTCTAGCAATTGCCTTCATCCGGATGAAAATTAAAAGGAAAAAAATAGGGATTTCCCCCTTTTGCTATCATAGAAACTAGAAAATGAAAACATTTCAGGACTCTTCTGTGAAAATTAAAGGTTGTATGTCATGAGATATGTTACAGCAGTATGTCTTCCTGGATGTGTGTCATACTTTTATCTCTGTTTTGTAAGAGACAAACAACAGCACAACATAAATCTGCAGAATGTGGAAGCGAGATGCTTAAAATAGAGACGAAGGGTAAGTAAACCTTTTAAGGAATCTGCAAACTGCATTTCTTGATCATTCCTGTACAAGGAAATCAGGCTGTTGTGGTTTTCTAAATTATCACCTCAGGGAAGCCCTCCTGTTACACAATCTGAACTTACTACTGTATATGTGTATGTATATATATATATATAATCTTAGACAGCATCAATACAGGTTACTTGCATATGAAAAATAAAGTAAAATACACATGCACAAGCCTTGATTGCAACTGGAAACAATTTAATAGATAATTCAGTTACTAAAAATATATATATATCCTGAGTCATGATCAATTCGGCACAGCAATAGAGAATGCTGACTTTGAGTTTCACTGATTGACATGCACTGATGTAAAAGGCTTCAATGCACGGTGATAGAGGATGAGATCCAGAATGTAAGCACCCACAGTTTTTTTTTCCATCTCTGTCTGTCTGTCTCTCTCTCAGAAACATGTATCTGAATAAGGCTATTTTCTCAGGTGTAAAACAGGTTCTTCATGGGTGAAATTGAAATAATTTAAGGCCTGACAAAATTAACTACAGGATAGATCACTCCCAAGCACACAGTGGGTCACTTCGTCTGCCAGGGGAAGAATGCACCAATATCCATTTGAGGGATCGTGATTTGCTCCGCTGAAGTCTCCTTCTGCAAGTTTGTTGCTCTCCAGAGACGTTCTCCCATTTCCTGATCAGATTCTTTCACTTCTGCTTGAGCAACAAGGAGACGTTAGCCATTAGGAACTCCACTCTTCGTTGCTCAGGAGCTACAGGTGGAGGCCTCAGCCAAAAGACGCTGGGCAATATCTGTTAATGCCGAGAAGGCTAAACTCTTGGGAAATTCCTGAAGAAAGTCTCTGCCTTCTTCCAAACTTTGTGTAAGTTGTGGATCCAGAGGTACACAGCCTGTTGAAAGGAGAATGCCAAAAAAGCCAGCATGAGGAGAAATGAACAATGCTTTTCTTCCTTCCACTCTCCAAAGGAAAAATATGTCACTTTTTCATTTCTGATGCCCTGGTTGTCTGTCTACCTCTCCTGTTTTATCACTGACCAGGTTTAGATATTATGCTAAGCTAGGGTTGGCTTTAAGTATGGTTTCTAGAAGAAGTCACAACCGGCAGGGTTTGCAAAGTACGCTAAGTAATAAGCCACAATGATTACGTCCATGCAACTTGCTAAGGTGAAACCAAACACACCATATTATTATATTAGCGTGCAAGTTACATGCAAATACAGAAATCGCCCCTTGAAATCTCTATTCTCCCAGCTGTAATTTTAGGAGAAATTTGGCAATTGGACAATATGATGTTGAAAATGATTGTTCTCCACCGAGACACCCTTGAATAGTGGAGTTTGCACAGTTGTGTCGGCTAGTTACTAACTAATTACAGGTTAATATTCACTGAGAAAATACTCACCCAGGAATGGGACGTCTGCATGTTTGGCCAGTTCCTGCCCACCTCCTTTGGAAAAAAGATTTGTGCATTCCTGGAAGGATACAAAACTTTTGTTATAAAGGCAGGTGACGACAAAGGCTGTATTTGTAAGAAGAATGTCATTTTATATATATCCATACAGTTATGGCCTCCTTTTCCTAAATGCAAAAAGACAGCTGCTGCTGCAACGGGCAGCTGGGTCCATCCCTGTATGCCACGAAAGCACCCAGCAGATGCTTCCTCAAAGTTTCCCAGCAGTTGTAACTGGGAAGTTGCTCTGCTCTAGTACAGCTTAAGCCAAGGATACCCATCATTTACAGAGTTCTGGCCATCAACATACAACTGCACGTCTTTAATAGTGAGGATTTAATTTTTCAGCTCGTGCTGCTTTTGGGAGAGAGAGTCTGGCGTGGTTAAGGCAGTGATGGCGAACCTTTTAGAGTCCGAGTGCCCAAACTGCAACCCAAAACCCACTTATGCATCGTTGGGTGCTGGGTGGGCATGGCCCATTGGGTGGGTGTGGCCTATTGGGTGGGCATGGCTACAGTGGTAACAGCAGACTGGGTGGGACTAAAAAGTTCAATCAATCAATCAATTCCAACTTTGCAAGAACTTTTTTTCCCCGCGAGAAGTTGAAATGGACTGATTGAACCTTTTTTTTTTTTTGCACATGGCGGCAGAGGCCTAAAGCGAAAAGGTTTTATAAAACCCAGCTGAAGGCCTAGAACTGGGGCGACAGCGCGCGTGCCCACAGAGAGGGCTCTGAGTGCCGCCTCTGGCACCCGTGCCATAGGTTTGCCACCACTGGGTTAAGGCATCAAGCTAGAAACCAGGAGAGGTGAGTTCTAATCCCCCTTAAGCACAGAACCAGCTGGGTGATATTGAGCCAGTCACTCTCTCTCTCTCTCTCTTGACTTTGCAAGGAGGAGGCAAGGGCAAGCCGCTTCCAAAATCTTGCCAAGAAAACCACAAAGACTTGTTGGGTGGAAGCTCAGATTTTTGGATTTTTTTCAGATCATTTTTTCCAGATCTTCACATCTCTAGGCAAAAAGCTTCCCCAGATTAAAAGAAGCTTCCCCTACATGTAATTCAGTCTGTTTAAAGTGTGGGAGAGAAATTAACTCTACCCAAGCACCATTGGAAGCAATTCTATCTTCCCTTCTGGCCCCAGGTTTAGAAACCCTTATAGCTGCCACTAGCTTCAGTATCAGGTCCACGATCCAAACAAGGCTTGGCACCCAATCCTCACCGAGCAATGGGGACAGACAAAGCCGCTCATGTTCTCCACAATCCCGAGGACCCGCAGGCCGGTTTTCTTGCAGAAGGTCAGTTCTCGCCTTACGTCTCCCACCGCCACTTCCTACAGGAAGGAAAGAAACTCAGTTAAGGGGAAAAAAGGTTCAAAGCACAAACCGCTTTGGCTAGAAACTTATCATTCGGCAGCCATCCTTTGTAGCTACACTGGGACGTGTCTACTAAAAGATCATCTTGGAAGGGGGAGCTATCCAGACAGTGAGCTGTGCCAGGCCTTCATGTAGCCCCATGGAATGGCAGAAAGATTAGATCCAGCCATCCCTGTGTATCATGGACAGGTGAGGGATGTAGCATTCGGTATCATGTTCCTCAAGATCTCCCAGGTAACTGCTAGCTTCTCAGCCTGCATTTAAGTTTATTTTATTTGGACTTGATTCGGGCCAGCTGATTAAACCTGGCTAACCACGGTTAATTACTCTGTTCAGAGTTTAGCACGAAAGGCTAACCCCTCCAACAATGCGTCTGCTGATTTCAGGAACTTCAGACCCCTGCCTTGAAACCCAGATGCTGCTCCAGCAGTTGCACTGGAAAAATACTGAAGGGGGAATCATCTCTTGTTCTTAGTGAGACAGGTACAAAATGCAGAATGTCAAGATTTGGGGAGCAAACTTGGGGATGCTCAGATAAAGGGTCTCATTTTTTCTGGATCCTACAGGATCCTGGTGATGTGACTCGGCGGAACGTCTGAAGCCAGTAGTGCCTGTACCTGGGGTGTGGTCACCAAAACTGCCCCAAGAGGTTTAAAAGGCCGGAGGGATTCGACTGTGGAGATGTGCTCGTCGGAGGTCCCAGGGGGCGTGTCCACAATCAAGAAGTCAAGTTCTCCCCAGGTAACGTCGGCGACGAATTGCTTTATTAAAGCTGTGAAGGCACAATATGCAAATGAGGATCACTGACCGGAATACGAGAGACACGTTCCCATATTTCGTCACCAAAGTGGTACTTGCTTTGAAGGGGGGGAGGGCAGCGGAAGCATCATTCCGTACCGTTTTTCTTTGGTCCTCTCCACACCACGGCGTCATCTGGCTTCTCCAGAAGGAAGCCTATAGACATCAGAGCAATGCTTTTGTCCTGGTCAACGAAGACCGGCACCCAGCCACTGTCACACTGGTGGACATCTCGGTCCTGCACATTCAGCATGCGAGGGATGCTGGGGCCACAAAGGTCCACATCCAGGATCCCGACCTAGAGAAACAAGCAGTCGGGTTTTTTTGAAAGAAAGATCTCACGAGGCTTTTGCCTGGAGTAATGTCCTCCAATCCATAGTTCAGACACTGCTGGTGGTCTGCAAGGTTTAACAATAGTACAGGGAACTGCTGGATCTCTCCAAAAGTTGGCACTCTTGCCAGACATTGCCCATGTTATTTACATTAAAATTCTGCAATTCCACAGATACGACGGAAGTTGAGATCATGTAAACCAGGGGTAGGCAACCTTGGCTCTTTTATGACTCGTGGACTTCAACTCCCAGAATTCCTGAGCCACCATGGCTCAGCTTGGAAACTCTCCCTTTCCTCTCAGCATGGCTGGCTCAGGAATTCTGGGAGTTGAAGTCCACGAGTCATAAAAGAGCCAAGGTTGCCCACCCCTGATGTAAACTGTAGTTCCCTGTGAACACTACGGTTTACACGATCTCAACTTCCCTTTATTTTCCTAGGGAATGAATAGAAAATAAGGAACGGTCTTCTAAAACTCCAGAAACCAAATCGACCAACCAACTGCAAAGGAAATCTTGACATCTAGAGTTGTCTTCGTTTGGGAAATGTGCATAGGAGCAGGCAAGGCGGGAGACCAAACAATGAAATTATCAGGCTAGAGTGATTAGACGGCTAGAGTGGGAGCTGTGAAACAGTGGGGTCAAAAGGTACACACTGCCTATGCAAAGCTCAAAAGGTAGAGCAAATAATCTTATCACGGATACCTCTTGCATTTCACAGATCTCCTGACACAATGTTTACCTTTCCCCCCCCCCTATACAATAGCTGGCAAACCTATACAACTTCCAATATTAGACCAGCTGCCATCAATCCCAACAAGTACAGCCAACAGCAAGAAACCCTACATCCCCCTGCTCCGTGCTTTGACTTGCATTGGACGTGGATCATCTAACTTTCTGAGGCTGTACTTAACTGAGCAGCTAACAACTGCAATGGGCAGGGCAGGCACTTTTCTTTACGGGGATCTGGAGTGTCCAGTTCATTTTTCTAAATGATGGCAGGCTTACTTTAGAACAGTGGTGGCGAACCTATGGCACGGGTGCCAGAGGCGGCACTCAGAGCCCTCTCTGTGGGCACGTGCGTCGTCGCCCCAGTCCTAGGCCTTCAGCTGGGTTTTATAAAACCTTTTCGCTTTAGGCCTCCGCCGCCGTTTGCAAAAAAAAAAAAAGGTTCAATCAATCAGTCAATTTCAACCTCGCGGGAAAAAAAAGATCTTGCAAAGTTGGAATTGATTGATTGAACTTTTTAGTCCCACCCAGTCTGCCATTACCACCACAGCCACGCTCACCCAATGGGCCACGCCCATCCACCCAATGGGCCACACCCACCCGGCACCTGATGATGCATAAGTGGGTTTTGGGTTGCAGTTTGGGCACTCGGTCTCTAAAAGGTTCGCCATCACTGCCTTAGAGGGAGATGACTCTATCAGAGGTAAATGACTCATGCCATCCGCTTCCTTAAGCTGCCTTCAGTCTAACAGGAAAGAAAGCTTCCTAAACTGGATGTTGGAAACTTCCTTTTCCCAATCCAACCAGCTGTGATAATCATAGCAGAATACACGGAAACAAACGGAAACAAACTGGTATCAAATCACATTGTTGGTCTAATACGTGCAGCGCTATCAAAGCTGTAGATTTCCGGGTTTCAGCCAGAAATCTCTAACCTATATCGGGATGTCCAACCTTGGCAATTTTAAGACCTGTGGACTTCAACTCCCAGAATTCCCAGCCAGGCATGCTGCCTGGGGAATTCTAGGAGCTGTAGTCTACAAGTGTTAAAAATTGTCAAGTTTGGAGAGCACTGGCCTACCACAAAGGGCTGGATGGACAACCTGCAGCTCTTATTTCTCATTTTCTGACTCCCAAAAGCTTCCCTCAAATCACTGGAAAGGCAGAGCAAAACACTGACTGGCAGTGGAATTATGATCATCATTGTAATAAAGAAACAATGGTCAAAGTAGGGAATCCTAAAGGCTGGATTTCTCGGGCAGTGTGGCTAAATCTGGAAGCTCCAAAGTTTGTGTATGGAGGCAGCGGGGCTGCTCTAATTTTTGTACCGCGCTGTCTTGGAATGGCACATACCTTTTTCCCAGCGTGCTTGAAAGCCAGAGCCAGTTCAGTGGAGATGGTGCTCTTTCCAACACCCCCTTTCCCTGACAGCACCAGGATTATGTGCTGGACCCCAGCCAAATTGCCTCTTTCTGTCAGGAACAAGAGAAAATAAGCAGAGACAGTTCAAGCCATGCCTGACAGAAATGGGAAAGGGAAAAATAAGCTGAGGAGACTCAACGACAACCCAAGCCTTCTTTCCAATGCTGATGGTGACTAGAACGGCATTCTGTAAATTCCTATAACTTACAAAATCAGGGCAAATCAGGGCAAAATATGCCCTGATTCAAGGTGATCAGCTAGTGTCTGGGCCAAAATAAACTTAAGATCCAAATCAGCTAGTGTCTGGGCCAAATTAAAAAAAACAAAAGCAGGACTGTGCTCAAGCAGAATACAGTCAAGAGTCTGAAACATATCAAGAACAAATCTATTTATCCCTATAAGTGCACAAGACTCTTGGTTGATTTAGCTATCGAAAGCTAATAAAAGTTTCCAGGGTGGAAAGGGCTGTAGAATATTCTTTATAACTGCACTGTTGGGGCCATTAGGACACTGATGATGTTGATGATGCCTAAAACACAAACTTCCGTAATTCAGGAAGCAATTCCTTCCCTTTTCCCAGAAGTCCAGCAGGGCAATATTTACCAGCCGGAAATACAGTAGATATGGCCACTTTTATATTTCCCAAAGAAGCCAGAAACTTTTTTTAAAACTGGTACAGAAGCAAGACTCTAGCTTACAAAGCCCCACTTTAAAAAGGTGGCTGTAGAAGTGACGGGAAGTCAAGAATGGATTCATATCCCACACTAACCTATGCGGTTAACCGTGGTTGGACTAAACCACAATTGGCTGGGATCATACACTGCCCTAAGTCAAAGCCAAACAAGACAAGTTATGATTTAATCCGAGGCATGAATGCAACTATACAACAAGCTTCCTGAAACTGAATCAAACGTGCACTGTGGACTACAATTCCTGTCATTCCGGCACGAAAAATAAAAGTTGTCGTACATCAGCCGGCCATCAAACTGGGAAGCCGGTCTAATACGTGAAGGCATGCTGCAAAAACACCGAATGCCCTTTTTTTTGACATTCTCCGTAAAGACGCGACTTCTCTAAGGAGATACTACTGGTGTCATATTAAGTATATGCATATATTCTAAATCACCTTTTCCTCTTTGAGTCTGGATTGCTGCATAGCCTAATGAATACTTCTGAATATAAACTCCAGCCTTATTGTTGGCTAACAACGGAAAGGTCAGCCAGCAATTAGGTTGATATACAACCTTACCCTACATGGCAACCTCAAGATTTGGGTGTGCAATTCCCAGAATTTTCGATTCGCATGACCTTGTTGGCTAGGAAATTCAGAGAGCTGCGCATCTGGATTGCATCAAACTGGGAAAACAATCAAACAATGTAAATTTTCAGATTAGAGAGATTGCACAACTAACCGAAAACATTTATTTCTCTGATTTATCACCCAAAAGCTCTCTGTGCGGGCTACATTTTCACCAAAACTTTCGTGCTTTGACTATATCATCCAAGGACGAAATGAAATCAAGTCCTGAGAATATAATCAGAGAACAGAGCAACTGTCTTAACATGATTCCTGCCCTATATTTCCTGCTTCTATATATTTAAATTATAAGCAAGATTAGCAGAAAAAATTTAAAAAATAATAAACAGATTAGGGAGAGAAAAAAAGCAAAAAGATAAAACCTCACAATTCTAAGCACAAGTAGATAGCCAACAAGCTTAACTGGGTTATTGAATTAAGCCATTTTCAGAGTCTGTATAATGGACTGGATCATAAATTCACCAGAAAAATTGGGTTTGCAGAATGTCTGAAATTATACAAGACTAATCAAGGCTAAAACCATTTTGTTGAACGCTGCCTCAAGGCCTGATCTGGTTAAGCAAGAATAAGCCCAGCTGTTTGTTCGGATCCAAATTCAACTATCTAGATTTTGTTCGCCATTAAGTCACAAGCAACTTACTCCACTGATTTCAGTAGGAACCAAGTTCAGATAATTTAATTTTGATTCAGACCGCCGTTATTGGTTTGGAATATGCACATTAGAATTAATTTCTGAATAACATTTCAGTGTTCAATGAAAGTAATTTAATTATGCCTGCCTTCACTGGCATGTTTAAAAATCAAGATTCATAAATTTACAATATAGAACAAGCATGCCTAGCTCCTCTGCTGTCCATATTCACAATGCTCTCATTTAATAGCTGTAATTGGTACTAATATTTCCAACACTTCCTATATCTGGTGGAAGCCAAGATCCAAGACAACATGTTGATTAGAATTCCATGGCTTCTCAGTCATTGGGCCTTATAATAAAGACATCCAAGATGTAAACACGTCTAGTATGTGATCAGAGACTCAGAGAAGGAAAAGGTGAATAAGTATGTAGCTGTTGAGTCACCCAGGAATTTCCTGCAATTTAACACAGCTAGGCTGAAGAACATCATAATGAGTTACTCAGCTGCATTATAAGAGGAAGAAACCGTCTCCTGGACAGAGAATTTTGAACACCCCAAAATGTATGAAGAAAATGAAAACTAGCAAACAGGACTCCTGAAACCCTGGTGGGGGACAAAGATATTCAGTGGGAAGGCCGGACATTTGCCTGGAAATGGAGCCTTCCATGACATTGGCGGAACTCATCAGAAAATCCACAGAAGGTAATGTTGGGGTAACTGCCTCTCTTTTTCTACTACTAAATTCATTGGGACAAAAAGTTCAGCTGCCATTCTCTTTTAAAATGGATGTCATCCGAAGAGAATGCCTTGATTGGAATTTGTTATCAAGTAGGGAAACAAGAAGTCGGGAATGAAAATATAATATTCAACACCAAAGGTCAGCTAGGAGGACATCTCTGATAGTACAAGACGTCCTCGGCTTACGATCGTTGGTTTAGTGAACGTTCAAAGTTACAATGGTGCTGGAAAAAGTTATGACTGATCCCCGGACTTACAACCGTCATAGCTTCCCCATCCTCATATGATCACCATTTATGACCTTCCCAAGTGGCTTCTGATATGCAAAGTTAATGGGGAAGCTCACAGGGGGTTGCAAGTCATAGTCATGTGATGTTTCGCTTAACAACCGTGGCAAAAGGATACAAAATTGAAGCAATCACATGACGCCTCACTCAATGACCACACATTTTTCAGTCCCTATTGTGGTCATAAGAATTACTGTATTAATATATGAACAGCACACTGACCTATCATTTTGATCTGTGTTCAAAGATGTAGTCAATGTATACGCTATTCAAAGACTGGGCAACATTTACAGAGCGGGGTGGTGGCATCACCAAAGGGAAGTAGAGATATTTTTTTTTCCAGACTTCTTTTATTATAAATTTCTTGGTGGCATCACCATCGAGAAAAATGCTCCATTATCCCATTGCTGAAATTTGGATGCTTGTTGCCAAATATCACTAGCACAATCTGGAGATCCAGATGGACCACATCCAGACTGATGGGTAAATAAACGATCTAAACAATGTATACACTTAGGCAAAACATTAGACATGAAATGCTATAATGAATACTAATAGAGAATATCTGTAACTCGGGGTTGAACTGTGGAATATAACTGCGGAGCCTAATGAATAATTATAAATAAAAGCATGCATTTTAATTGTGTTTATGTTATGCCTTAATGAATTCTATTTCCCATACAGTCCTATAAGGAAAATCTCAAATAGATAACAAATTATTGCAGGAACAGCTGATTAACTTAAGGCTATAAACTAAAATCCAGAAATAAATGCATGACATCTGTGCTTTAAATGCTTATGCCATCTGCTTCCCCTCCAATTAATCACATGGGTTTCAATTTAATTAAATATACTCACATTTGCTCTGTCATTGTTGGACATAATGGATTTAAGTGATGACAGTATTTAGTTTGAGTTGTGAGACCAGATATAATTTTTCACTTGGCCATTAGCAGCACTGACCAGAGATTCCAATACATCAGGCAAGTTACCTGATCAGAGAAACCTGGCTTGTCACTTATTGAAAATAACTCTGCTAAAAAAATGAGTTGTGAGTATTTTTTGGTTTTAAAGTACCGTAAGAATGGTGGTGGTTTGCCTCCTAGAGGCCTCATTCTCATATTTTATTCACCTTGTGACATCACCTTGTCAATGAATAATTTCCTGTACTCTCCTCTAGAAAACTGGGGGAGCCTTAGTTTGCAATCTGTCAGAAGTTAAGCATCCCTGCATTAAGGCAAAACTTTAGGAAATAGAAACATCAGTAATTTCTGCTGATGCTTCTCCTAAGAATTTACTGTTTTCTAATGGTATTTTATAGGATCAACTGCAAAATATTTTCATCTATTTGTATACTCCCACTGTGGATATAACCAAGACATATTATTAATTAACCCCACGGATAGAATAAATATTGGATTAACCAGATTTACATCCCACAAATCTCATGTTTGGTTTAAGTAGATGCCACAGGTATTACAAATGGGTTCAGAACCGGTTCTAGCCACTTAAAAAATAGAAGTGAACTTCCCACTTCAATTCCATTTTCTGCCAGTCACCTGTGTGCAACTGGATAGCCATGTGGTTTGGTTGTAATCTCATACTGAGACTTGTACAAAGACAATTTGATATTGTGACAGAGCACAATGTTAATAGGGAAGGAAGGGCAGATAGGTTGATTGCAGTGATTGTGTAAGTGTACCACAGCAACCCCAAAAAAGAAAGAAAAAGGTCTAAATCTGGAACAAAGGCAAAAGGACTGAGCTGAGTTCATGTATATAACACTCAACCAAACGCAAGGGCTGAGTTGAAATAATGTGCTACATCCCCCCCCCCAAAAAAATAGTACCAATGTTTTAAATGTATCAATATTTTTAATGTCCTAATATATTTTTAACCTTGGCAACTTTGTGTTTTTAAAGTTCCAAGTTTTTTTTTTAAATATTCTTTAAATCTTTTTAACTTTGGCAACTTTAAAATGTGCTTCCAAGATTGAAAAACGTTTTGCACACACTGTATTTACTTATTCTCTTTTGCAATCTGTAGTATTTCGGTCTGCTCTAAAGCCTTTAATTTAAGGCAGGGGTCTTCAAACTTGGCCCTTTGATGACTTGAGGACTTCAACTCCCAGAATTCCTCAGCCAGGCACGTGTGCCTGGCTGAGGAATTCTGGGAGTTGAAGTCCTCAAGTCATCAAAGGGCCAAGTTTGAAGACCCCTGCTTTAAGTGGTCCACATAAACAAAAGCATTAAACTCCGAATAATTATAACCACATTAAACACCATCACAATCAGGGTCAAAAAATAATAACAACGCAAAGATGACAGATCCATTAAACGGATAGATAGATAGATAGATAGATAGATAGATAGATAGATAGATAGATATAGATGATAGATAGATAGATATAGATGATATAGATAGATATAGATGATAGATAGATAGATATAGATGATAGATAGATAGATATAGATGATATAGATAGATATAGATGATAGATAGATAGATATAGATGATAGATAGATAGATATAGATGATATAGATAGATATAGATGATAGATAGATAGATATAGATGATTGATAGATAGATGATAGATAGATGATACAGGACAGCATCTTTATCCTCACGCTACCTCCTGGTTCACCCAACCGCCGCCCACCGAACCCAACCTCCCCCATTGAGGCCTGACACGCGTGTTGGCTTCAGGAGGCCGACCCAGGGCTGGTCGTGTGAATAGGGAGACCTCCCTTCCCGAATGTGGGGCGATCCCGTCCCCCCATCGCCCGGATCCCAGGGGCCGGGCCTAGTGTGGCCTGGGCAGGGCAGGGCGTGGGTCAGAGAGGGGATCCTCGGAAGGTTTCCCCACACGAGGACCTCGAGATCGGAGGATGCCAGAGGATCGAAAGGGGCAGCAGGGCCGCCACAGGCCGGCATTCGTCGGGGAAAGCGTTTCTCCCTGAGGGGGGCAGAACTTCACCTGTTGAGCTTCCCTCAGTGAAGCCCCCCCCCATCGCGGCGGCGCCCCTCACGCACTCACCCTCCTCCCCCTTCTCCATGTTGCTTCCGTTCGCCTTCCCTCGCGCTGCCCTCGGGGAGGGGGGGAGGAGCGACACCACTGTTGTCCAATCAGGCGTCTCTCCTGAATGACCGCCCCCTTTACAGACCAATAGGAAGGCAAGCGCGGACAACTCCTCCCGCCTTCTGATTTCGTGGCTCAAAAGGCGATTGGAAGGAGAGACATACTGTGGGCGGGACCGAATCCCCCCACCCCGCCCTTTTCTCAGCCAGTCAGCTTTTATTTAATGACACGAAGAAGCCGCTTGTCCTCCTTTACTTTCGGCAGCTGAGGGGGTGTGGTGTAGTGGTGGTGACGTCACTGAAGCCGCCGCCCACACGCCGCTGGGAAAGCCAATGAGAGCCCGAGAAGCGAGCGTCTCTCTCTCTCTCTCTCGTGCGCGCGAGCCTTCCTCTTGCGGCGGGGGGGGGGAGGAGCGAGACTGAGCAACGACGCCCCTCCCCACAAGGAAGCCGGACGTGGGAGCCTCTCGCGAGGGACGTGCCCAATGGGAGGAGAGCGAGAGGGCGGCTCCGCCCCTTCCTCGCGCGAGAAGGGGCGGGGCGAAAGCAGCGCGATGACGCAGGTAGGCGGTGGAGGCGGAGGGAGGGGAGAGGCCGCGTCGCCTGGATTTGGGGGTGACGCGCCGGCGGGAAGGAAAGGAAAGGCGGGAACCCGGGCGGAGGTCCCGGGGAATCGGGGAACGCCGGCGGGAAGGGTCGTCCTCGGAGAAACGACGCCGCCGGGCGCGCCCCTCTGAGGTAAACGGGGCCTGCGGCCTACAGATACTCCGATTAACAGGAAAGCTCTTCTAGCGCCTTTCGCAAAGCTTGCTGGGAATTCCCGCAAGGGATGCTGGGGAAAGAATGCCCTCCTGGAGTCCGATACCCCGAGCTCTTCCCTCTCCCCCCCGAGGAAGGAAGGAAGGAAGGGAGGGCGGCCTGCTCCTTCTCGGGAAGCCCCTGAAGGCCCGGGCCTCTCCCCGTAATTTAAACCCGGTGCCGTCGGGCGGGAGGACGTCCTTCCTGGAGCCGCCTAATCCTCTCTGACCTGAATTGGCCTCGTTTTTCCCTCTCTCTGCTTAATGCTTCCCCGCCCGCCGCCTTCCTCCTTGGGTTACCATGCCTCGTTCTCTCGGACAGTCGCCACAGTTTTATTTATCGAAGGCTGCTCTTCCATCCCGACTAGGCGGTGTGGTTTCTCTGTGTCCTAGGATATATGTGGGTATAGGCAGGGTTTTTTGGGTCAGGTATATTGGAGGGGGTGACCCTTTGACAGGTTTTAAAGAAGAGACTGGACAGCCATTTGTCCGAAATGGTGTAGGGTTTCCTGCCTGAGCAGGGGGTTGGACTTGATGACCTCCAAGGTCCCTTCCAACTTTTTTTTATTACTATTATTATTATTATTATTATTATTATTATTATTATCGTCATCATCATCATTATTATTATTATCATCTAAAATAAACAGTTGGCCTAGCACAGATAGAAAGTATGCAAATTTTCTTTAGGGCAATGTAGAACACAATTTTAAATACCACAGATGCAGAAATGCAAGTAAACCATTTGTCCGAAATGGTATAGGGTTTCCTGCCTGAGCAGGGGGTTGGACTCGATGACCTCCAAGGTCCCTTCCAACTTTACTATTATTATTATTATTACTATTATTATTATTATTAAAGTGTCATTTTGATGTATGGCGGTTAGTGTGTATTTAAAGGGACAATAAAGTTAGCCTAAGTCTTAAATCGTCCCCTACCTGCTCAGATTAGCTGTATAACATGAAAGGGGCAGCTACACCCTCCCCGCCTTGGAAAAGTGCATAGAAATGCTAACCTAAAGTTATTTTAAGGTTTTTAAGACAAATGGCTGTCCAGACTTTTCTTAAAAACCTCCAGTGTTGGAGCATTCACTGCTTCTGGAGGCAGGTTGTTCCACTGATTAATTGTTCTGACTGTCAGGAAATTTCTCCTTAGTTCTGGGTTGCTTCTCTCCTTGGTTAGTTTCCACCTGTTGCTTCTTGTCCTGCCTTCAGGCGCTTTGGAAAATAGCTTGACTCCCTCTTCTTTGGGGCAGCCCCTGAGATATTGGAAGGCTGCTATCATGTCCCCCCTCGTCCTTCTCTTCATTAAACTAGACATACCCAATTCCAGCAACCGTTCCTTGTAAGTTTTAGCCTGATCATCTTTGTTGCTCTTCTCTGCACTCTTTTCCTGCCTGAGCAGGGGGTTGGACTAGATGACTTCCAAGGTCCCTTTCAACATCATCATCATCATCATTATTATTATCATTATCATATTTTATTCATTAGACATGAACCTCAGTCAACTGAACATTCAAATTGGCTGGCGCTGATGGTTGACACGGGTTGCTACCAGCATCCTAGGTGTCAACCAGGTACCTCCTTAAAATGTAAGATGTTCCGAGTAGTGCAGTTTTTTGTAACATTGCTGGAAGCTGCAGTTTCTTGATGTGTTTTGCAAAGTGTTTAGACATAGTTCCCAGTGCCCCGATGACAATGGGTTACACGTTTCATCCCATAATCGCGCAGTTTCGATGGCCAGGTTGCGATATTTCGTAATTTTTTTCAGTTCTTTTTCTTCGACTCTGGCATCTCCTGGTACAGCGATATTAATCAGCTGTTATCATTATTATCATTATTATGGATCATCGCACAGCCAGCCAGATGTTGTTATTATTATTATTATTTACGTGATGGTCTTTATTAGTCTGCTTCAACAGAGCATGAGGATTTTAATAAAAAGTTGGGCGCAGAAGCCCAAAGTCCCCCCTTGGAAATGATTTTTTTTCATGGATAGTTTGGACTTGGCAAGGAATGAGGGAGAAAAAGGCTGTTAGGATTCTGAATCTCAATGTTCCTTTCCAAGATTTTGGAAAATGTGGGATTGGAGATGGTATGGAGTATGATAATTTTCTTTGGTAGTTTGAGTTGATTTATTTTCTTTGGAAATAGAATAACAGAATAAAAGAGTTGGAAGGGACCTTGGAGGTCTTCTAGTCCAACCCCCTGCTCAAGCAGGAAACCTCATACCATTTCAGACAAATGGTTGTCCAATCCCTTCTTAAGAACTTCCAGGGTTGGATATGTGCTTAGATATGTGCTTGATTCTTGTTTTCATATTTTCACAGTTAAAGCTATTTCATATTCTGCTTTCAGTTTACAAGGATGCTCTCTACCCCTGGGTTTGAAACAAATTGAAAAAAAATATTGCCTTTCAAGTGAGGACTAAAATAAACAAAAAGCCCATATTTTGCAAACAGAAATTTTGTTTACAGTTGGTGGCTTTTTGCAGCAAATATATTCAAGCCTGGCTGATATCCATTCTTTTGCATTTGTTTGCATATGGAAGTCATTGTTCATGGTTCCAGAAATGCAAATGTGCTTATCAAAGGAAATATGCTGTACATCTGTTCAGCTCCGAAACACGGAAGCTCTGAAAGACTCTCACCCAGCTTATCACCCAACATTGTTATGGGAAAAAATTGGAGGAAGGAGTGGTATGCACTCTTCTTGAGGGTGAGATATTAAAAAAAAAGATACTAAGGCATTTTTTTCTGTTTTCAAATACTTAAGAGGGAAACTGTCCATATCTGTAATAGATTTTGTTTGTTCTGTGATGCTAAACCTTGTGTAGGACGGAGACCTTTTGCTGTCTTGACTAAGGTTGATCACTATTTTTTGACATTGTGAATGCATGCTAGCTAGACTAGATTATAAATCTAGATAGCCTGAAATATCAATTTTAGAATTATCAGAATCATTCTTATATCTTTTTCTTGCTCCATTCATATTCAAGCTTTTTTTCCTTTTGATAATATAAGTTTTCTTACAGTGAAAGGCAGCTTTGGAACTAGCTGATTTAAATATTAGACAATTGGTGCTTTGAATTTGCTTTAGTATACTTAGATTGCCATTTGTTGTTTGTGTTTAGCTCATTTTCTGTTTGGGCACCTAATCCCGCCCTAGTTTTTAACTACTGCTTTTACATACACTATATTGTTTGCAGTAATCTTCTCCCAGGGCAGCTCCTTGTTGAGTTGTCTAGCAGAATTTATTGGATCACTGATTTGAGTCACTTTAATCACATTATAGTTTGCTGTTCATTATATGATGCTTGAGTCAGGCAGATCTGGGAGCATTAAGTATTGAGTACTCATTAGCTCAAGTAATGTTTAAGTCTCTCTCTGCTAATCATTGCGAATTGGCTGGAAGTGAGTCCTAGAAAATATGTAAAAATTGGTAAGTTATGGGAGCATTTTTACACACTCCGGGAATGGTTAGGGTAGCTGTTACCTGCTGACCCATATATATCCCTACTACTATGGACTGAGATTAGAAAAAAGATTCATAAATTGCTTTGAAACTTTTGAGTTGGATTGATTGAGCTCTGAAATAAATGGGAGAATATTATCCATATGCAGGAAGTACACATGGTCATTTCCCTGCTTACTAAACAAACAGTGATTGAACTCAGTGATTGATCCAATGTCCTTAATAAGTACTTCAGTCCAACTTATTTAAGAACAGCTGTCTCATTTCCTGCTTTTGTATAACTGATGGCTTGTCTTCTACTGAAGGAGAATTTTGTTGGAAGAAAAAATATATCTGAGAATTGACTTTAAACATTGTGGGTTATTTCAAACCTGTTTGGAAACAAAATCAGTATTCTAGCCTTTGTTCTGTTCTGGTTGGTTTTGATCTCATTTGTCTTGGCCAAAGATTATTTACTGTTGTGTTTCCTGTGCTTTTTTGTGGTGGAATGCATGTTCCTCAAAGTCTAGGGTGATAAAATTGGCACTAGCAGATAAGTGGAGATTTCCTATATATATAGCCTACTATATCTTCTCTCTCGGCACAGAGTATACCTTAATATGTAATGTTTGTCTGAAGGGGAAAAATGTACGTTGAACTGATTAATTTGAAGAGGTCATTGTGAGTAAGATCTTGCTATGCCTTCCAGATTACCTCTCCAAAGAGGCCATGGCGCGACGCATGCGCAATAGCAGAGCTTGGCGCTACGTTCTGAGTGGGGTACGCCGAGAATCAGATTCACGGACTTTAACAACGGCTTCTGGAACGCGTGGCTGGTCATCTGACACTGATGGGCAGGTGAAGGACCATTTGTTTTCTTGCAGGACTGCCTCAGATGTAATATCCCCTCGGACACTTGAGGCACTTTCGTGAGATTCTCATAATATAACTCAAGATTTTCCAGCATGCATTGTCAGGTGTTCTTCTCTGCATCGATAAATGGTTGTAAATTCTGACATAGTGGACATTGATCCAATGAACTGAATTCAGAGACCTTACGCGGTGCTTAGAAGGCATGTCAACACACAGGTTTTTGGACTCATGCTTCAGCTATGTGAGCCTGGAAAAATATGCAACTTCTTTTGCTTTAAATCATGTTTTGCTTTTGAATATGGACCTCTGCATAGCCTTAGTTGATAACTAGGTTGGAATTGAATCAAACCTAAAAAAGTTTTAATGTTTTATGCTGCCAGGTAAAGTAAATCTGCACCTACTTCTTACCTGAGATACTAAATTGCTGGTTTTGTTGCTCTTCCCCTCCCTTCTTTGGTTACTTTTTACCTTTTTTTTAAAACAAAAGTCCTTTTATGGCTTGTTAACAAAACCATCCTCATTGGGATTCGTGGCTTCTTCCTTTTGAATAAACAATGAGAGTTTTTTTTTAAATGGAAAAAGCTTTAAATTTATACAAGCCATGGAAGGAAACAAGTTGCTCTTGCTGATAGAATAAATGATCAGGCATAAAGTCAACTTTTTTTTAGAATTATGCCTTAACGTAACTTGTACAAGGACAGCTTGAGTGAAATATTTGTCTGGTGCTCTAACAGTTGTCCTGGAAAAAAATAACGTGGGAAGCATATCTTCTACTTTTTTCTTTAATTTAGAAAAGGTAACAATGATTAAACCCTATTTTTAAAAACTGTTAAAAGCAATACTTAGAGCTATGATTGTTTTATATGCTTGGTTATCAAACACCGATCTTTGTGTGTTTAACACTTCTTTAGCCCAATCTGCATAGAATCAAATATTTACGTCGTAATTAACTCCATGCTTAATCCTGGAGTTCATTAAGGCCAATTACCTCGAGTTTGACAGGATTTAGTTTGATCCTAGTCGGAAAGATATGGACTTTAGGACATAAGCATAGGGCTACGTGACATCCAGACCACATGGACCTTAAACTTTTCCCAGGGACATCTGTTGTTGCTAAATGTTTTCTTAGAATGAGAGGAAAAGGTAACCATTCTTTTTTTCTTTCTCCAGCAGCACAGCGACTCTGATTCGGAGTCAGAATTTCCTTCTCAGTTGCCTTCCATACCCACAGCCATACCTGTGACAGGAGAGTCTTACTGCAACTGCGAGAACCAGAACGAAACTCCATATTGCTCTAGCTTCCACATGGCGCATCGGATAAAAGATTGCCAGTGTGGAGAGGAAGATGATTGTGAGAAAGATCCCGTATTCCTTCTCTTGTTGATCATTTCAGTCTCAGCTGAGCTATAGGCGTATTTAATAAATAATAAATTTAATAAATAATAATAATAATAATAAATTTAATAAATAATAATAATAATAATAATGAGTATATATTCTGAAAGAGACACATATGCACAGGGGAACATGTTGGGGGGAGTAGAAATCTCCAGTTTTTGCTACAATATGTACTGTGGAATATGCAGGAATATAGTCATAATTTTAGCCACTAAATCACTGTTTTTCAAACTTGGCCACTTTAAGATGCATGGGAGAATTCTGAGGGTTGAGGTCCACACCTCTTTAAAGTGGCTACATTTGCAAAACACTGAACTATCTTATTCTTCAGCTAAGGGAAAATTGACACAACCTGAGGTCTAATGATTTGAGATGTTCCCCATTCACATCACTTTTATCTCCCTGTCTTTCTCTTCAAAGATTTTGACTGGGTATGGGATGAATTGAACAAATCAGCAAATACTCTTTTGACCTGTGACAATCGTAAGGTAAATTTCCACATGGATTACAGTTGTGGGACCGCTGCCATCCGGGGGAACAAGGAGCTAGCAGAAGGCCAGCACTTCTGGGAAATCAAGATGACCTCACCTGTCTATGGCACTGACATGGTATGTTGGATAATACCTGAAAATAAAAAATAAAAAAAATCATTTTTTTAAAAAATCCAATAAGATTCGTCAGTAATTACATTTCAGTGGTTTCTGTCACTGGGAGTTGGGCAGCATTTACATCCAGTACATTATGGCTAGTAGTAGTAGCACTATTTGTTGTCTTTACTTTTTTGTTTTGTTTTTTTAAGATCTGTTTTGCTCCTCCAGCTCTGAAACGTTTGTATCCAATTTTTCTTTCTTTCTTTTCTTTTCTTTTTTTTAAAATGCAGTCAGATTTTACAGAGGATGGTCAAGTATCACCAAGGCCACTGTCTTGCTGGCATAAGCACCAGATAGCATTGAAATGGTGCCAGTATAGGAGAAAGGCAGGGACTGGATTTTACTGGTAGGAGGTAATTATGCTACATTTGTGAGAACTGGTAGCTTTCGTGAGGAAACCGCTTGCATACACGTGGACTGTGTACACAGCATACAGTAACATCCAGGCTGTTGTCCTTGTGACAGTCTCAGCTAGAGTCCTCACAGTTTTTCCCTATAGTGTCTTTGTTTTCTGGATGTGACAGTGACAGTGTTGTGGGAAGAGAATAATTGAATGGAGCCTTTTCAGTATATGGAAGATTTGGCATTTCTAGCTAAAGAAACGGATGATAAATATGTCTTAGAACACAATAGTACTGGATTAAATGACTAAATAAACCTGCTTACTACAAGGCACGTAGCCATAGATCGTAATTTTTAAACCTCCAGAAATTGGGCTCGTATAGCACGCGAAATAATACATGGCCGTGCCCAACTTACAATAACAGTTTGTCAGTTCCAGGTGCACTCATTAGGTGAATCACCGTGGGTTATTAATTATGATATCACGTGACTTTGACTTGTGACTTCCTTCTGGCTTTCCCACTGACATTGCTGCTTGGAAATCGGCTGTGAAAGATAGAAATAGTGATCACAGGACCTTGGGCTCCTGTGACTGTTGTAATTGTGTCCCAAATGCCAAACACCCCAATTACGATCTGTGACTATAAGGATGTGCCATGGTTCTAACTCCTGATTTAGTGCTGTTCTTAACTTTGCGCGGTCACTGAATGCATGTGTGATGACCCAGGGCTCCGAACGGAGGCAAAGTAATTAGCTGGTCAGAATAATTGTCTTTGTAAGCACTGCCAACGTTCACCCAACAGCCCCCACATATGCTGGCACAAGTTCAATAAAACAGTCAACGGAGTTCAACAGTTCTTTAAAGTAAAACAGATAACAAAGTATGATCTTTTCAACGCCCAGCTTGCCTGTAATATGCAAACTGCAAAACTGAAGACAGCAAGAAAAACTCAGCAGGAAACAAACTTGATCCAAAATACAAAGAGTCCAGGTACAAGAGCTCACATTACAAGAGTTCACGTTTGTTCCCGGCAAATGGGGGCGTGACACTCTCCTCCCAAGCAAGTGAGCCTGCCTCCGTTGTTCCCTCCTCCTCTCTGCTCTCCTTGCTCTGGGATCTGGTGGGGAGGGGCCTTGCTCCTCGCCTGAGCTCTGCCTTCCCTGTTCCAAACTTGAAGGGCCCTGGCCTGCTTCAGCCTTTTCCTCCCCACAGTCCTCCGAAGCCACAGACACTCCCTCCTGGGCCTCAACAGGGAACTCCATGTCGTCCTCAGAGTCAGGCTCGGACAGAGGCATGACAGCATGGTTATTAAATAAGGACTACTTATATTTGACTCTGGTTAATGATCACTTTTGTGTTTCTTCCTTCCATCCCATGTCCTCTAGATGGTGGGAATTGGAACATCGGATGTGAACCTGGATAAATTCCGTCACACATTCTGTAGCCTGTTGGGAAAAGATGACGACAGCTGGGGTCTTTCTTATACGGGTAATAGCAGCAAAGGTTTCATTTATTTATATCTAGATTTGTAACATGTAACTTACATGTGAATTTTTGCAGCCTATGCCTGAATATAAGAACTGTTTTTTTTCCTGAAGTTTTGTGTGGATCTAACTGTCCCTTTGTAATAGGTTGATTTGGAAATATTCTTTAGCTAATGTTAGAGAGCATTTTCTGACATGTACAGAGAAAGTTTGTTCCTCTTTATCGGAGAATGATTTCTAAAAAAAGTGATGGCAATCTCAAAACTGATTTGGGATTTGAGACACGGAAAGCATGTCATTTTACAAACATTTGAGGAAGCATTCTAGGCCTTGGGACGAGAAGAGAAAAAAACCCCAAATTATTTTGAGAACTGGACACTTTTATCAAATGTTCAGCTTATTTTTTAGGAAATGTATTTTTAAATATCTGAAAAGCCGTCACATAGAAATCATAGCAGGCTTGTTCTTTGTGGGTCTAGGACAGAGGTCCCAACCTTTTGGGCACTGGGGACCGGTTCCGTGGAGAGAGTTTTTTCCGCGGACCAGAGAGTACGTGGTTTTGTGTGTTGCCTGCATTTTGCAGATGGGGCTTTGCTTGTTTGTGCAGACCGGTTGCTGGCATGCCGCGGCCCGGTATTGGTCCACGGACCAGGGGTTGGGGATCCCTGTTCTAGGAAATAGATCAATGGCTAAACATTTTTGGGGAAACTATTTTGGTGAAACGTTAATAAAAACTGTTGAAAGGAAATGGATTGTTTTAGAAGATCATAGACTTTGCTAAGGAGTTTAGGTAAGCAGATAATTAAACTATCTGGTGAGAATATTGTTTTGCCTCTTGCATTACAAACTATCTTAAACAGAGTTAGATGAACTCTATAAGGTCCTTTTTACCTTTGCGGAAATTGGAAACCTACAAGGTTATAATTGCAAATGTCCCTTTCTCTGTAGGACTCCTCCAGCACAAGGGGGAACGGAACAATTTTTCGACAAGGTTTGGACAGGGCTCCATCATTGGGGTGCATCTGGACACATGGCACGGAACTTTAACCTTTTTCAAAAACAGGAAATGTATAGGTAAGGTGGAAGAGGCCAGATGTACTTCTAAACCAGTGAAATGTGGGAAATAGATAGATACAATTTATGGGAGGATTTTTAAAAGGCAGTTGATTGGTTCCCATTCCAGAATCATAGACTTGTTTATTTTAATAGGGGAAAGATGGCATCTTGAGGTACAGCTACCTGAAAAGGACCATCTAAATATCTACCTGTTGAAAATTAACCTGGCATAGCATAATGTAGAGTAAACTAGAAGAGCGTAATCCTACAATAAATCAGTTTAATAGATTGGTTGAGGGAAGGTGTCTCTGCTGGAGATAAAGCAAATAAGATTTTGTACAATGTGTAAAATGATTTAATTTATAAGTCAGCTGCTCAGATACCGCACTTGTACAATTTCCTCGGAAGACTATAAAAACTGTGCCTGGTCACTTTTCGTTATTGGGTCCAGAGAAAAGGACAACAGAACCAAGCAGCTGTAATGTTGTTAGTTGCAAAGTCGTGTCCGACCCATCGTGACCCCATGGACAACATTCCTCCAGGCCTTCCTGTCCTCTGCCATCTTCTGGAGTCCCTTTAAGCTCATGCCTCCTGTTTCAGTGACTCCCTCCAGCCACCTCCTTCTCTGTCGTCCCCTTCTTCTATTGCCCTCCATCTTTCCCAGCATTAGGCCCTTCTCCAGTGAGTCCTTCCTTCTCCTTAGGTGGCCAAAGTGCTTGAGTTTCAGGATCTGGCCTTCTAAAGAGCAGTCTGTAATGTATTTGTGGCCTAAAGTGGAAGATCCCATCGTAGAAACGCTAAGGAAAAAAAGGAAGTGCAAACTTTACCCCCAGATAGTCTCTTGTGTTGTCTCTTTTTCCCCCCCCATTCCACGCCTGCGTGTTAACCTGGGACCTCCTTGCTGATCTTCCGACTCAGGTGTGGCTGCCACCAAGCTCCAGAACAAGAGAGTCTACCCCATGGTGTGTTCAACGGCAGCCAAAAGTAGCATGAAGATCATCCGCTCCTGTGCCACCCCCACCTCTCTGCAGTACCTCTGCTGTTACCGCCTCCGCCAGCTGCTTCCCGGCTACGTGGACACGCTAGAGGTTCTCCCCCTCCCTCCAGGACTCAAGCAGATTTTGCACAACCGGTTGGGCTGGGTGTTGAGCATGAACTGTGGCTCCCTCCAGTCCTCCTCTTCCTCCTCCTCCTCCCCCCCTTCCTCCTCTACCTCCTCCGGAAGCGATTCAGACAGCTCTTGCGGCTCAGACGCCGAGGCGCGTCATCGGAAGAGATGCAGGTGGAGGACTTAATTTGCCCACCCCCCCACCCCCAATTTCGAAAGATGGTGTTGTCGTGAAGGATGAGCTGTTCCCCTCCCAGTGTTACCGAGTGTCATTTACCTTCCTGATTGTACCCTGTTTGAACACTAAAGCCCGTTTCAACCTACCATTAAGAGACAAAGCAATTTCCACAACGTTATTCTACCCACCTAGCCAGCGGGTCATCAACTCTGGTTTGCCAAGATTTTCTGGGACAGATGGTTCGAAAGTCAGGCTTTCGGCAGCCCAGTCTATGGATCAGTAATCCTGAAGCACAGGGAACGCTTAGGGAAACCTAAGAAGCCATCACCTGTGCTAGGTGAATTGCAGTAGATGGCGCCCGTGTTTTGGAGCAGAGCAAGGCTATCCAGAGCCAAATGGTTCTTCTTCCGATCGTCAGTGCTTCGGCCCTTGATGGCATCCAGAAGAGAAGAACGTTGACGCCGTAAGGGGTATCGTGAGCCTTGCAACTCTTCAACTTGCTTTGCATGTCTATTACTTGTATTGAACTATACCCAGATGAATTAAAATATATACAGACTTTGATCCCGTGAGGATAGGCTTAGTCCATCAACCTTACCGTCCCTCTCACCTAAGGTAATTCTAATCAGGTTCCCCAATTCTTATTAATTATTGGGAGTCAAAACAATGCCAGGCTAGCAGTTGGAATTATGTGAATGAACTTCAGCGGTGGATGTTTCTCTCCCCCCCCCCCTCTTTCTTTTGGATCTTGAATCCTGCATTTCCTCTTCCACGGCCAGCCGTAATCTACTTATTTAGAGGTATTCCCATCCCATGTGTATTTTCTGGGGAGGTAAGTTTAAATATTCCAATTCGTTCTTCGATTTTTGTCATAAAAAGGACCTGCAACAATGTGTACTGGCGGGGCATTTTGCAGTTTCAAAGCCAGTATTGGTTATGGTTTTTCCCTAGTGATTACTTAACGGCTACGAGGGTAGCCAGAAAAGGCTCTCTTTGATACTTTTAATGTATGGATAAGCACAAGGGCAATTACATTCCCTTCGGTTTCTCCTACGCGTAGTGCAAATGACGAAGTGTGGTTCATTGTGAAAGGAGGTGTATGAAGGGAACAAAGCGGCATCATTTTGTAATAAACCATGGATTAGTATTAATTTCTGAATTTAACCATTGTGTGATTTGGCAATATAACAGACTCCCGACTCCCTTGTAATCGTCTGATTAAATGAAAGCAGCACTGAGCTTTAGTTTCAGTGGAATTATTTAACTGGGATTAGGATTGCACTATAATAAGGGATTAGGTGATCCTTTTCTATATATAATGTTTTCTGCAGTTAAAATAACCATTAGCGCTTTTATACACAAGCTAGGTTCTCAAGAGAAATATTGCCACCGTGCTACATTATGGTTTAATGTATGAACCCCAAAAATTTGTCTTTACAAATTCAAACAAGCATCATCATGATATGTAATAATAGCGTAAAATAAATTATTCAGCAGAAGAATGGAGATTTAAAAAAAAAACAGTCAAAGAGAGTCTCATTGATCGCATTTGTGCACAAAGACATTGATTGATTTTGCCAAACTCAATTTCTGCAATAAATCCTATAGCTTTGGCAGGAAGCTACAAGGCTAAGGAGCCACGACCCGGTGGTTAGAACAGGTGCTTCAACAGCTTAAATCTAGGACAAGCTCTGGATTTGTAGATACCATGAAAAGGTAGACCCGGCGAGACAGGTCTGGGCCAATCCGTCTCTCTGTTTTATTGTCCTCGGTCCTGATCTGGAGGTGGCTTAATAGAAGTTGTCTGTCTGCATCTGTATTGCATTCTTGGTAGGCCTGCAAAAAAAAGCAAGGATACCCAATCGCCTTGTATTTCTGGTAATCTGGCCTCTGCCTGCTTGAGTTATTTCAGTGTTAACCCCCTTTCTCCCTAGCTTTGTTTTAAAACTATTGTCTAGTACTTGATAGCAAAAATGATGAGACAGCAGGCCTGGTTTGCTACGAGAAGAACAAATCTGGGGCATCGCTAACAAGGCTTTGGCTTCGGGTTAAAAGATTAGGCAGAGTCCAGTGGAACCAATCAGTTCAGTTACAGCTTCTCTTATTAAAGATCTCATCTACAATTTGTTTTCTTAAGGAGGATCCTTAGGTAAACAGAACCCCCATAGCTAACAGGAAGCAAAACCTGGTTGTATGGCAGGGAAACATAGTATGTAGAGGCAGGGGAAAAAAAAAAAACCCTAGCCCAGAAATGCTTTTTCACCCAGGAGAACTCAACAGGCTTGGAATAATCAGAGAATTATGGAGGGAGAATGGAATGACGTTTACTAGGAGTCCCTTATCCAGCCTCCATAGTAATTCTCGACTGCAACATCTGAGTAAACGTCCCACTAGTATTTTTTTTTTCTCTTCGCTGAAGTCTCCGTGCCTTTTACTTGCGGCCTACTTAACCCTACGCTGAGACAACAGAAACCTGGCCCCTATTCTTGAGAATCACCTCCCTTGATTTCCCTTCTCTACCGCCAAGACAAAGCAACTGGTGGGACGAACTGACCTGTAGCAGCAGACTTGGCGAAGGGAAGGCTTGGGCAATGGCTGCTGCCATGGCTGGACTGACTCGGTTGAACTGCTGGATCTGTTTCAGCCAGGTGTCCTGGAGCCCTTTCCCGTCCTTGCTAATATGCACACCACTAGCCCACTTGCCTTTGGTGCAGAAGGAGAAAAACTGCTTTTCCTGATGCTTCCTGTCGAAGAAACCGTTACGCACAGGTTACACATAGGTTACCATTTTGACTTAAAATGCCTGAACTGACCTCACAGTAACCTGTTCCGAGGGTTGTCTCAAGTCAGATTGTTTCCGTGCTGGTCAGAACGTCCCTTTCCTAAGATTGGGCTGGGACCTTTTGGGGCTCAGAATGTTCCCTGCCAAAACACCGTTTAACGCGAAGTAGATACTATCCACGGACCACGCAAGACTAACCGTTGCAAGCGAAGCGGAACAAAACAAGCAAAAGCATACTTTGTGACTTGTTCTGAATACAGTGCGACGTAAATCAAGCAGTAGCTGTTATCAGAATGCTAAATGTTTTTTAAAGAAACAATCTCATTGTGTTATCTTTGGTCCCGCAAAGACAAAGTCACACAAAAACCTTATTTACAGGTTAATTTTTTTTTAAAATGAAAGGATTGTGGGATAGTCTTTTGGTTCCTACTTCACGGCTCCGAAGCTTTGCCAAGGCAACACGACAACCGACACTCACTTATACGGACGCTGCGCTACAGCTCTGGTCACTGCAGAAACATGCTGGGCCAATTCCTGCCACGTTTCCAGGAATAAGACATGTATGTTACCCCGGAGTTGCAACACCACCAGAGCCTGCAGGAGAAAGTTGGAGAGACTCAAAACAAGAAGAAATATATATATATTTGGCCTTTCTGCATACCGTGTGAAGTTCCAGGGGTTCAACACTCTTCCCATCCATCTCGGCTACGGTTCAGCAATGATGAACTGGTAATTCCTATTTTAGTGTTTTTGCTGTATCATCCTTGATGTGATGTAGGGGTGTAAATTAAATCAGGCAAGGAATGAGACTGATAACCCGGATGCCCCCGTGAGAATGGAGCCCTTTGTTGTGGTTGATAAACTCATTGTTACATTTACCTCCTCAATTTGATGCCGTGTCATGGACTGTTCTGGACCAAGTTGCAATGTTTCATTCTCCAGTCCCGGGATCAGTTCTTGCGGAAGCTGATGATTCTGGTTATACCTAGGCAGTTCAGAGAAGAACCACAATTCGAGAATTAATATTGTGGTACAATGGTTAAAGGTACCAAGCTAGAACCCAGAAGACTAGTTCTTCCGTCTTAGGTACAAAGCCAGCTGGCTTAATTTTAGCCCAGTCTCTTTTTCCACCCTGGGAAGAAGGCAGCTTGAAACCACTTCCAAAATTCTTACTAGGAAAAAGAGCAGGGACTTGTTCAATCACCAAGAGCCAAGACTGATTCAAAGACGGCAAAATTATTTTTTGTCAAGCTGCTGTAGTTTGGAAACTTGCATGCAAGGAAAGCATGTTAATTTAAGCCACCGAGGCATTTGAGGCAGTTGACAGTAAAGAATGAACTTGTCTTAACTGCCTTTCATTGTTAGAAGTGTTGCTGCTTCTTCCTAAGAATCTTAAATGAGTTTGAAAATGCTAAACAGGATTAGATTGGTTAATACTTGGAAAGGATGCAGCCAGGAAATCCCAGCATTATAAACAAGACTGGAAAGCTAAATTAACATCCGGAAGAAGGTAATGGAGAATCGGGAGACGTGGTGCACTTGAGTTTTCCTGTCAGTATTTGAGTTTGTTCTGTATTTAGTACCAGCTTATCCTTTAACCAGAAAGCTAGCTATATGGCTGAAATTGCAGAATCTTACACCCAGGAGTTAGACTTATTACTTCCCTGCCTCAAATAACCTCAAGTGAAAAAGCACAAGCAAGACTGTGTTTACACATTAATACCTTTTGAATTAATTTTCCCCAGTTAAGTGGGGGAATAGCATGTTTATACTATCTGTTTCCAATATTTGTTGGAAATCTGCATTATAAAAAACCCAAGATTGTCATGAAACAAAATGCAAGGGTCAACGATGAAGACCTGCAATTCTGTATGTCAAGAACACCGTGAGACTTTTAGCTTCTTGAGAACCACAAGCTCACCCACCCAGCTCGCACAACGCTTTGCTCCTTGGGACCCACAACTCAAGACAGCCCTTCCAATCCCATGTACCATTGGTAGGTGTCTAGTCCGATGACAACCACGCTGTAAGATACTGTAGAAGGATCTTCCAAATTGTGAAAGGGACACAGATGAGTAAGATCTGGTGGACTCCGCTGGCTATCGGGACCTGCATTCTAAAATTAGAACAAGATTTTAGAATCAAAAATTCATCCACTTTTACATATGAATTTTAAAACTATTTTGTATTCCACTGGTGAAGGAGTTCCAACCTCAAGTGGGTTTGCATTAGTTTTCTTAGGTGGAAAAGACAACATTAAACTCACAAGTAAGTGCACTGGAGTCATTTTACCAATGGTTATCAATGGCATGAACCTCCCCTGGTGTGCCTTTTGAGGTTGGGTTATTGTGATGGATTATTCTCAAAATTGGTTCCTCTCAGCATAAATACTGTCATAGCTGTTTGTAATTTGAACCATCTTCCTTTGTGTTAATACCCACCACTTGGCTTTCTTTCATCAGTCAGTTGAATATACTTGTGTTCTATTTCCAGGTGCCAGATTTTAACGTTTTTACTTTTAAAACAATTGCTGGGGTTCTAATCTTTCCTGAATTAAAATCAGACTAGATTTTTAAAATATATATATATACATGAGTGGCCACTTGAGAATTGCAACTATAGTATGCCAGTACCTATTATATCTCACTTACAGATTTGAACAGTAAACTGAGGCAGAGCAGGGGAACCCTTTTACTCTCCTGGCTGAGTCTATGCAGTGTTCTTTTTTCTTTTAATGCGAGAAATAAAATGTACCATACTTTTTTCCATCATATGTCTTGGCTCACCTTTTTTTCCCTGCTCACCTTTTTTTTTTTTGCTTAGTGATTCCAGTACTGTCCTCTTGGATTCTGCCTGCTGCCAATCTAGCTTTCTATTGCATTTCCTCTCAATTATTAAGCTTCATCTCCCTAGGTGTTTGGAAATAAGATAAAACTCTGAAACACACCATCATCTTCTCTCCTCGTCCTTCTTGTCATGTAAGGTATAACAAGCAGAGAATTGGGGCAAAGGGGGCCAGTAAAAATGGAGCAAAAGAGGACAGTTAAGCAACTGGGAAGGAAAGCCAACACTTGCCATTTAGATTCGTATTCACAAATTAAGGGTATTGTATACAGCACCTGCACCGATGATGAAAGTTGTCTGAGGAAATATGAAGGCTGCATCACTAACAGGACCTCCTTTTCCACTGCGGTCTCTTCTTGACAACCATCCTGCAGAAATAAAGTTAATCTTTTGCTAGAAGAGAAAAAAAGAATAGTTTTGCTAGCTCAAACTAAAAACGTATTAAACCCAGCCTCCGCTCCCAACGGTGGTTCACCAGAGCAGAGATCCTGAATGTGCTCTTGGTTTAGTCTTCCTCATTCACCTCATGCTTGCATTCTCTTATCTACCCTCATGGATTTCAAATTGTTTTAAAATTCACGGTCATAGACCAGCTCACATCCCAGTTTTTAGTGCAAGAGTCTAAAGATGTCGCCCATTTATAGCAATAACGGAATCAATGATAAAAAAAGTTGTGATGAAATTTGACTGCCCTCGCCTCCCTTTAGTAGCTAAACCTAGGTTTTAAATATATGGGCTTTAAATACTAGGACGTTTGGCAAGTCAGACTGATTTATTAATTGAACAGCCACAGAACTATCAAAATCAGTGAATTTCATAGATGACACATCCATTAGGGAACAAATATGGCGTAAGCGAGCCAAGCCCAACAGAGATTTGTGTCTGGGACTCTCATTGTAGTTACTACTATCTTCCTTGACTGCTTTATGTCGGTTTCTTCTATTAATCTCTGAGCAGGAATTTAGCAGCTATGGCAAAACAGGTTAATGAATCAGCAGTAATTCATATAGGCCACAAAGAAGCACTTTGCACATGGCTGTCCTCCACTTCCAATGGAGAAATCCATTGTATATGAAATATGTTGCTGGATTTTCCTTCAAAGCGCTTCAACAATAATGTGTTTTTATTGGAGTTGGGCCAACTCTCTTTGATGTGATGCAGAGGCAACCCTAAATGAATGCAAGCCTTCAAGGATTGAAAAGCAGATAAGCAGAGTAAGGAATCAGTTGTAACACACACAGAGACACACACACAGTGTTGTTTCTTTGGCTATCAATGGAGTTTTGACTCAGATGCTTACTGAATTAGGCGTCCTGCTGAATATTTTTCTCTTCCAGGTTATACTATGTGGAATTCTCTGACTTTCAATATAGTATTTACAGTCCAAAGAGTCCAAAACTTCCAGCAAGACATCAGAACCAAGGTGCTCTAGAAGACCTGAGGAGGAAGGATAACAAATGATCTTTTGATGGCACATAAACTCTACAGCGCAGTACTATGCCAAAACCTTTCCCTCTAATTCCCTCTCGGTAAAATACAGGCACAAAATGGATAGGTTGGTGTAGTCTTTAAGGCAGAGGTCCCCAACCTTTTGGGCACCAGGGACCGGTTCCGTGGAAAGAGATTTTTCCGTGGACTGGAGGGTGCATGGTTTTGTGTGCTGCCTGCATCCTGCGGATGGGGCTTTGCTTGTTTGTGCGGACCGGTTGCTGGCATGCCGTGACCCGGTACTGGTCCACGGACGGGGTTGAGGACCCCTGCTTTAAGGCATTGAAGACTGAGTTCTGGTCCCCCACCTTAGGCAGAAAGCCAGATGAATGATTTGGGCCTGGTCATTTTCTTCACCCTAGCAAGGAGGCAATGGCTAATTGTTCCCAAACCTCTTGTCAAGAAAAGTGCCATTTTGGTGTAGTGTTAAAGGCACTGGGCTAGAAATGAATGCGTTTTAAGTTTAGTCGTGCCTTAGGTATGAAACTATAGCTACGTTTTCTTCTGAAATCTTGCCAAGAAAACTGCAGGGAACTGATGTAAAGGCATTAATAATACTAAACCAAAAGTGGAAAGGAATAATCATGCAATGTAAACATACTACCTGAATCCACACAGATGATCATTTGCTTCATGCACTGATCAGGCCGAAGGAATTTCAAGGCAGATGCTGCTTCCTTTCGTCTCTGTTTCTCAGCTGCAACCTGCTGTTTTATCCTCATTTTCTCTTCTTTTTTATGCAAGCTCTTCTGTTTTTCTTCTGTTTTTATCTGGGCCATCTTGCTTTTTTCCAGCGACTGCTTTTTCTTCTTTCTCTCTGGCTTTGAATTACAGGATACTATTTGTGTCAACGGTGTAAGCAAAGGTACTGCTTTTGCCTCAATCAGTGCCACTGTGCAGGGCTCTAATTTTCGTTTGTCTGAGCAGCCCTCATCGTCAACCTCTGAATAATTAGCAAAAGCAGTTGAGGATTCTGGTTCAACATCACAGCCTTCCTCAGAATCAGAGATTTCCCATGTGATCGCTCTTTTAACAAGCTGGCAGTTTCCATCAAGAGCAACACTCTTTTTTCCCTCCATGGTTTAAGTTTACCCGCTTGCTAGTCTATATTTTCAACTGAAAATGTTAAGGAAATCAGCAGCAGTCACAGAATCGCAGCTACGTAAAACTATCGAAAGCTGGGCATTTGAGGAAACTTGCAGGAAAGCTCCCATGTGCATTCAAAATAAGAATCTACGTTCTCCTCAATATAAACAGACTGTGGTCATTGCCAAGCCACTCTTCAAGTACCCTAATTAAATGTTGGCTACCAGTCAACACACTCAATTTGATCAGAAAGACAGGCTCAGCTGATCTCCTTTCATTAACAGAAAAAGCTTTTTTTCAAACCAAGTCCTACTCAAAGAGCTCTCTCTCGCACACAATTTGGATCCTGTGGATACGACTACTGTAAATAGAAGCCAGCTTATTTATAGAATCTCTGCCCCTGAAGTCTCTACACTTGGAAATTTTGGTTTATGCCCTCCAGTTGAGCAAAGTTTTCCCCCACCACTAGGCATTTCTGCCAATGCAGCAACAGTTGATCAAGTGTTTTATCTGGGTCTCTTGAGCAGGACCAAGGTAGAATACATTGTGGGTCATCGCTCGGGGGGGCGGGGTGGGGGGAATAAAAGGCAGCAAGGAAGCCGCACGTCCAGAGTCTCCTTCGGGCGTACCCGCTACAGCATTTCCAACCCTGGAAGTGAAATAAGAAGATGCATTTCATTAGCAAAGGCAGTTTCTAGGTACACGTATCCCTCCATCCATCCTGGTCTTCAAGCAACTTTTTGCTACTAGAAGCGCGACCAAAAGACCATTTCGCCGAAGAGGAAAAGCAGCCGCCAAACACGAGAAGGAGGAAAGCAGCTCGGAGGAATCATCGGGATCGTCTTTTGAAAAATAAATAAATAAAATAAAAATCCCTTTAGGAAAGCAGCGGAAGTGTTGCCTGCCGGATCGTTTATAGCGACGGACCTCCCTTCTTTCCTGAGCGTCTAATATGACCTAAGGCCGGAAGCAACAGAGCGATTGTCCGTGGGCGGCCGGATGATTTATAGGAACGGACCAGCCTCGGCTGAATTTGAGACTATTCAAAAAAAAATAAAAAATGCCGGGACGGAAGTGTTCTTCGCCGGGCGTCATATGAGGTTGCACCGTCTCTGCTGGAGCTTCTGCGAAGGTTTGGGATTCAAGCAAAGCCCGAAGAAGGGCGGAAGTGTGGCTCGGGGGAAGATTTAGGGAGGGGGACCGCCCTTGCTCGGAGCGGTGCCTTTGAGACTCCGGGGAATCAGGAGCGAGAGAAGGAAGCCCAGGGCTGCTAAAAGGAGCCGGGTATTTGTTGAGGTGCAGGACTTCTTTGGTCTACCCAACAATAACCCTGCGAGGTAGGCTTAGGGAGAGAGAGAGAGAGAGAGAGAGAGACGGACAGAGGGGGAGAGAGAGACGGAGGGAGGGGGGAGGGAGAGAGAGGGAGGAAGGGAG